CCCCCCCCTTTGCCCTCTTCCACCCTCCCCTATTCCACCACAGGTCTTCACATGTCCATTGTTTGTATCCATGGACTGTTCACATATGCTTAGAAGTTCTTTGGTTGATTTCTATCTGTCCTCCTTCCCACCTTCCCTCTGACATTTGTCAGTCTGTTTCATTTTTCCATTTCTGTGGTCCTATCTTGTTTGTGAAATTATTTTGTTCCTTAGATTCCACATATAAGAGATCATGTGATACTTCTTTTCTCTCACTGGCTTATTTCACTTAGCATAATATTCTCCAGGTCCATCCATGCTGTCTCAAAAGGTAAGAAATCCTTCCTTTTGTTGCGGAATAGTGTTCCATTGTGTAAGTGTACCACACTTTTTTATCCACTCCTCTACTGATGGGCACTTTGGCTGTTTCCAGATCTTAGTTATTATAAATAGTGCTGCTATGAATATAGAGGTACTTATACTCTTTCTGATTAGTGTTTTGAGATTCTTAGAATATATTCCTAGAAGTGGGATCACTGGGTCAAATGGCAGTTCTATTTTTAATTTTTTCAAGAAACTCCATGGTGTTTTCCATAGTGGTTACACCAGTCTGCATTCCCATCAGCAGTGTACTAGGTTTCCCTTTTCTCCACATCTTCGCCAGCACTTGCCATTTGATGATTTGTTGATGGCAGCCATTCTGACAGGTGTGAAGTGATACCTCATTATAGTTTTAATTTACAACTCTTTGATGATTAGTGGCAACCAATTTTTATATATGTCTGCTGGCCATCTGTATGTTCTCTTTGGAGAAGTGTCTATTCAAGTCCTTTGTCCATTTTTCATCTGGGTTGTTTGTCTTCCTCTTGTTGAGTTGTATGAGTTCTTTGTATATTTTGGAGATTAACCCCTTATCAAATGTATCATTGGCAAATTTGTTCTCCCATACTGTGGGTTCCCTTTGTGTTTTGATGATGGTTTCTTTCTTTTGCTGTGCAGAAGCTTTTCAGTTTGATATAGCTTCATGTTTATTTTTTCCTTTGATTCTCTTGCCCTGTGAGATATATTGGCAAAAAGTTTGCTACATGAGCTGAATGTGATCTTACTGCCTATGATTTTTTCTTGTATCTTTATGGTTTCATGACTTACATTTAAATCTTTTATCCATTTCAAAGAAGGTCACTACATAATACTAAAGAGATCAATCCAAGAGGAGACTATAACCCTTATAAACAATATGCATGCAATATAAGAGCACTTAAATATATAAAAAAAAATCTTGGTGAACTTTAAGAGTGAGATCGATACCAATGCAATCATAGTAGGGGACCATAACAGCCTACTGTCATCATTAGATAGATCATCCAGACAAAAAATCAACAAACCAATAGGGAATTTAAATGACACACTAGATTACCAAACATTTCATCGCAAAGCAGCAGAATATACATTCTTCTCAAGTGCACATGGAACATTCTCAAAGATAGACCACATGTTAGGACACAAAACAAGTCTCTATAATTTCAAGATTGAAAGCATATCAAGCATGTTCTCAGATCACAATGGCATGAAACTAAAAATCAACCACTATTAAAAAAACCTCAAAAATGTTCAAACACATGGAAGCTAAATAGCATGTTATTAAACAATGAGTGAGTCACCAATGAGATTAAAGAAGAAATAAAAAAAATCCTGGAAACAAATGAAAATGAACACACAACTACCCAAAATATTTGGTACACAGCAACAGCAGCCCTGAAAGGGAAGTGCATAGCATTACTGCCTAGCTCAAGAAAATAGAAAAAAGCTGTAATAAACTATCTAACACTAAAACTAAAAGAGTTAGAAAGAGAACAACAAGAAAAGCCCAGAGTAAACAGAAGAAAATAAGAGATCAGAACTGAAATAAGTGACATAGAGAGTAAAAAAGTATATATAAATTATCAATGAAACCAAGAGCTGATTCTTTGGAAAGATAAATAAGATTGATGAACCTTTAACCAGGCTCACCAAGACAAAGAAAAAAGACTCAAATAAATAAAATCAGAAGTGAAAGTGGTGATATAATAATGGACATCACAGAAATACAAAGGATCATAAGAAAATACTATGAGGAACTATATGCCAACAAACTGGACAACCTGGGTGGAATGAAAAAATTACTAGAAACATACTATCTTCCAAAGCTCAATCAGGAAGAATCAGAAAACCTGAATCAGCCCATAACAACTAATGAAATTGAAGCAATAATAAAAAAGCTCCCAGTAAACAGCAATCTGGAACCAGATGGATTTACAGGCAAGTTTTAACAAACATTCAAAAAATTAACACCTATTCTCCTCAAGCTATTCCAGAAAATTCAAGAGGAAAGAAGACTCCCGAGCTCTTTTTACAATGCCAGCATTATCCTAATCCCCAAACCAAATAAAG